GATCCTGCTTTGGCAGGGGGGTTGGACTAGATGATCTCCAGAGGTCCCTTCCAACCCCTACCATTCTGTGATTCTGTGATTCAAGAGAACAGGAATTTTTATAAACACAATAGAGTCCTACACCTAGCTTTACAGCAGGGTGTACTGATAAATGCATTTTTCTCTCCTGGTAAGTGAATTTCCTAACTGAAATTTCTTTCCTTTTCAATTTATGTGAATGCACTTAGTTGCTGATCATGCTGATGGAGCACATGACCCCTTAGAATTCTGTTCTTTAGTGTATTACAGAAATAAATACGCTCTAAAATACACCTGTTGCTTCTCACCATGACTGCTGGGAGAGCAAATACGGTATTTAAAACTCAGGAGCTGTGGAGTCCCACTCTCTTCTTAGTGCAGAGCCAGAGAAATGCCGCTGACTTCCAAAGACACTGCCACTGTGCTTTCCCTTTTGTCTGTGTCCCGAAGAATGCCTGACTGTACCTGCTTTCTGACAAACTTTGTCTCAAACCAGACAGTAAACTTCCAGATAATCTTTTTTTTTTTTTAAAAAGCAACCCATAATTGCCCCTAAGCATCATGTTGCTGCGCAACTACAGCATGTGGGTAGCAATCTGGGAAGCAAATTATCTAAGAAGCAATAATCAGTCACAACAGAAAAAAAAATTCCACTGGCTTCCTTCTGTAATATGATAAGATCTCTTTATAGCAGTCCTTCCCCCTCCTCTGCCTTCTATTTATTCTTTGGTACATAAGTGCAATGCAACAGCTGCCTTTTATCTTATTTAAACACAGTCCCATTCTTCCTTGTAGCTATGGATTCTTACAATGTTTCCTAAGAATAAATGACATGAAATCCAGTAACTTCAGGACAGCAACTAAAGCACTTAAGTCAGCAACTGAACATTGTATGAAAAAAATCACCACTATGAATTCAACTCTAAAAATTAAATTATCATGGATAAAAATCAGGGTACATATCTATAGAAGAAATCCCTGCTCACTAGAACACAATGGAAAAGCATTTATTTAAGCATGAACGTGCGTCAAATTTATTTTCCGTTACCAAATATAAAGAAATCACCAACATTAATGTGAATTTTGCAAGTTTAAATGGATATAAGACTTGCCTCTATTTTATGGAGTGACTTTGAGCAGAAGTAAAAACATGAGCTTTAATTTTTTAAATTAACTTCTAATTTTTGTCTTACTAATTACTACATCACAGATTAATTTAAAGAGTATTTAATAGCTATTTAAAGAAAATAATGCTGCAAAGAGTCAGATTAACAGCTCTTGATAATAAAATGCTCACTTTATCCAGATGATATCTAGCACTATTCTTAAAGCTTCACTCAAGTCTTTTCTATGTATTATGCTGCTCGCACTCCTTCCCAAAGCCTTCTGACCATTTCATTTTCAAGCCAATAAAATAATAAATGAAGATAAACAAACTCACAGTGGTCTTTGACATGACAGTTTCAAATTGCAATACAGCCTCACTGGGTGACTCTAGCCATCCTTCCAAAGATTTGGATCTTGCACTAGAAGATAGAACTTCCAAAAGCACACAGCACTGGCTTAACTAATACTTTCAAATAGCCCCGCTGTGGTTTTTGTGAGGAGTATGTTTATAAAAAGTTACTTGTGCATAAGTTTCAGTAACTATTCACCAGAGAAACCCAATTGTCCTATTTGGGTTCATCCAGCAGCACGTTTCCTAACTGTGACATGGTGATCTTCAATTACCTACACGTTACTTACACTGCCCTCCAGGAGACTAAGGAACAACCAATTGCTCCATTGTTTTTTTCCACGGGTAAGAATTTTAGGTTCCAATGCATTTAGCCAGCTCTTTCTGTCAGGTGAAACTCTGGTTTGTTCCGTCATTAAACATCTTGAGTAACTTTCACAGAATCACAGAATGTTAGGGATTGGAAGGGACCTCAAAAGACCATCTAGTCCAATCCCTCTGCCGGAGCAGTAACCTAAATGGGATCACACGGGAAGGCGTCCAGGTGGGTTTTGAATGTCTCCAGAGAAGGAGACTCCACAACCTCCCTGGGCAGCCTGTTCCAGGGCTCTGTCACCCTCACTGTAAAGAAGTTTCTTCTCAAGTTTAAGCGGAACCTCCTGTGTTCCAGCTTCCACCCACTGCCCCTTGTCCTACAATTGGGCATCACTGAGAAGAGCAACTTTGCTGATATTGGTATTTTGTCTTTGATATTAGTGAGCTGAACAGATATAAGCAGCAACTGTCAGGTGCTGCTCGTGGTGGCACACATAACCTCTCGGGTTTTGGACTGTTCCCATTGCTGATCCTGTCCTGTTTAAACTCTTTCTATCCATTGACAGCATCTCAGCAACAGTAAGGTCTATGGTCCACATCCTCTACCCTTTATATGTCCCTCCCACTCAGTATGCCTTGAATATTGTGGGCTGTCAACAGACTGTGAGTAGGCTCTATGGGTTAGAGACATTTTTTCTTTTCTTTTCTGCTGCTCCTAGGGCATTCACAAAGAAGGGTGGGATGGGGAATCCCTCTCTTGATGGTTTAAACCCAACTGCAGCAGAAATTGTATGGAGGCAATAAAACAGTATCTCAAGATATCTCATAAGGTCTACATCACACATTTCTTTGCAGTTTCTCCATAAGCATTCACAGAAGACTCCTGGATCACAGAAACCAAGTGCAGTGAGCACAAAAAACAGCAAAAGAAAGCAGAGCTGAAATAAGAGTATTAGCATCTACTTGTTTGCTACTGGCTGTCTCATGCCATCCTGGACAAAGATGAACTCTATAAAACACTAGAAATAATCACTGGAACAACCTTCCCAGGGACATGGCAGAGTCCCCATCACTGGAGGTTTTCAAGATGTGACTGGACAGGGCACTAGATAACCTGGTCTAGGCTCCCTGACTGTGGTTGGACCAGATGATTTTTTTGAGATCCCTTCCAACCTGGGCTGCTCTAGTTGAAACAGAACGCTCAAGTTGTACAGTCATCCTAATGTTGGTGCCTGGTAGCCATATCCCCTTGAATACATTTAATATTTTTAGCTCTACATTTAGAACTGTGCCACAATGAACACAACAATCTGCAAATGACTGGCCATGCGTGGGACTGCATGTGTACCTTCATTTCAACTGATGAGTCACCTTGCAGCAACGTCCACTCGTACTGCACAATTCCATGGTCATCGGAGCTTTCTCGGCCATCCAAAAGCACCCAGTCGACAGGTGACTGCAGCACAATATCTTGTCCCGCCTTGCATCGTGGAGGCTCGTCGTATTCTTCTTTTTCAATTAAAAAAAAAGAGAAGCTTGGTTATTTATCAGGAGAAAGTGAGTGATTATTTATATAAAACATCATTTTTCTTGGTCAAGGTATTGATTCACTACTGTGCAATTTCCTGAAAGCCAGGACATGTTCATTAGTGCACGTGCTGTTAAATGAAGTGGTGTCTACTTAAATTTCAGTGAACTGTTCTGTATTCAATGATGTCTTCAGGAAATAATTGCTACATAAGAAGCACATTGCATAGAAAACCTCTCTACATATGTGGATGTTTCACTAATTAACCAAACAAGTTTGTTAGCATCAGTGTGCTTTTTTCAATCTGAACTAAGGAAAATGGATTTAAATATGAATTACATACATATTCAGATGGCAGTTACTGTACACCTTTTATAGCACTCTGCATAACTTAATGTGCTTTTAGTCTCTTTTTATAATACATCATTACAGGAGTGAAAGACTTACTTAACATGAGCTGGCATCCTGGTGAAGCAGTGTACATAATGATTAAAAATCATCAGAAATTACCACCATTTTTAAGTGCCTACTTGGAGACATTCAAAGCTTGATTTTCAGATCATTTAGTATTTGTAGTATTTTGCTATATTCAAAGTACAATTATTACTGATTAAAATTGTGCGTACTAAGTACTTTTGCCAATCAGACCCCAAGTTTTTCAGGTTAGACAAACAAAACCTATGGTACATCAAGTGACACAGCCTGAGAGAGACAGGCTGAAAGAGTTGGGGCTGGAGCCTGGAGAAAAGAAGGCTTTGGGGAAATCTTACAGTGGCCTTCCAGTACCTGAAGAAAGCTGGGGAAGGACTTTTCATAAGGGCAGTTAGTGACAAAACAAGGGGAAATGGGTTTAAGCTGAAAGAGGGCAGGTTTAGATTAGATATTAGGAAGAAGTTGTTCACTGTGAGGGTGGTCAGACACAGGTTGCCCAGAGAAGCTGTCTGTTGATCTAGTGAAGAAAAAACTAGCCTGAGGGAGACAACTGGTATGGCAGGAAACAGCCTATTGAGCTTAAGAGTCTTTTTCCATAGCAGAGTTGTAAGCAATGAAATACATGTTCCTTAGTGAGTGAAACACCTCCAGATCTGGGGAATACATGCTTCTAAGAAGTCAGCATGAAAAAGCAAGGAGGTAGGAAGCACTTATAACCACTGCTCGCAGGAGAAAAGGAGTATCACTCACAGGTGAGCAGAAAAATCAAGCTCAGAAAGCCCCATTTAACTTCTAACTTTCATTTAGGTTGAACGTAAATAAGCAATATGAAACCGATACACCAGATCATCACTCTGAGATGCTTCCTAGAAAAGGGGCTACAACTTTATGAGCACCACTTTTTTCTTAGGGAGGGAACACAACAGGCTTCATTTATTCTGCTTCCTCCGCCCTTTACACAGACTGGGCTTGCCAACACTGAAGCAGCCAGCTACTGTCTGAATGCAGGCTTTGTTATGAAAGGTTATTTCACTGACGATTCCCGAATGCCTTTGATATTAGTTTACCTTCATGTTGAATCCTCCTGCTGCTCACCACTAGTGAGTAGCACAGAAGGAAAGTCAGACATTTCTGGTGAGGCACTCAAGTCCTCTTTTGTTCTACTTCAAAAACTTAAAAATTTGCCTTACAAAGGCTAAAACAATTACCTCTTCTTTCAGTGTAGGCAAATGGGGTTTTATTATTAACACAGCACAAACCTCCTGGAAGTGCAAAGTAAAACCACAGCCAAACCAGCACAAACTGGGTGTAAAGTAAAAAGACTCGAGTGTACACCAAAATATTCAGTCTCAAAAATTCATCCCACCACTGACTGTTCTGGAATAAAAAAGAGATATACTTGATCTGAAGAATACATAACTGTCATTGACTGCTCCTAGAATTAAATAAGCAATTGGTTTTGGTTTACTGAAGATCCTTAACATAAATGAAACCACAACACCCTAGAGATCACTGCAGATTAATGCTCAGAAAAATTTTGGAATTACAAGGACATCACATTTATGGATAAATGTTGGTTCAGGATTATCAAAAAGTAAACAGCAGAAGACTCAACAGCACAATATTCTGAAAAAAAAAACCCCAAACCAACAGGTAAAACATGATCCCCTCATGAAAGAAAATCTTGAAATGAAAACTCTTTCCTAAATTTCCCAAATTCAATCATGAGGTGACATCAGGGAAAAGAGATGTGTCTTCATCTTCCTCTGATGATGCACTGTTGTCCAGATTAATTTTTCAATGTAATTTAAGAATGCAGTGGTAACATAACAGCAGACGCCAAATAATTCTATCTTAATTTTCTCTTTCCTGGTCTATGTCACAGCTGACAGATGTTTGAATAAAAGTTCATTCCTCTTTGTGACTCTGCTTCAGCTCCAGTGTAATTGCATTAAGAAGTCATAATCCCCTGTTTCCAATACCACCATCACCCACAAGGCAGACTTTTAAATAAATCAAACAGGACACAGAGCAATTTGCAGATCAGGAGCTGAAATTGCCTTACAAGCCCAGTGCTTATAGTCATGAAAGCTGCCAGAAAGGCAAGGCATTCAAGAATTCCAGAATTCAAGAAATGCAAGATTTCTAACAGGCAGGGTATGATTTGAACAACAGTATTATTTATAACATGCCACAACTGAACTCTACATTAGGGCCAGGTTTAGTGGAATGAAGGCAGTTCAAAATTATGAAGGACGTTTAAAGATATTTTCAAAGGGTTTCAAAAAAGCCTAATTGTCTCTGACTTTGATACAAAATCTAGTCTTAAGCCTTCTATCTTCCAAGTGCATACATAGTCATAAAACATAATTACCCAAAAGTTGTGGCATAAATGGTACTGTATATTCAATACTTCCCCCATTGAAAATGTCAAAATCATACCTTGGGTTTTTCTGGCATCTTAAGATCATCTTTACCACCACAAGTTCCTCCCTATAGCTCTCTAGTTTACCTGACCATGCACTTTGCAAAAAATACCTAGGCATCATAACTCCTCTGAAAACTGAGCCCCTGTTCTCTCTTATCTCCAGGGGATTCCCGTTGACATTCTCATCAAACAGGCAGGACTGGATGGAGGATTAAGCCTGAGATCTCCCCTGCCCAGGAAGCTGTAATAGCAGGCGCCATCTGGACACATTCACACCACCACCAGGTTTTCTCCATGTTACATGCAGCGACTGATACAGTTAAGTTGAGATATATGACTGAAGAAGAGGACATTTAGGAAAGTATTGTCAACAGAAGCTAATGAAATTAAGACAAAATGAATTAAGATGCAACTGTTTAACAACAGGAGGTGAAGGAGAGCACGTAAGTTCTTTGGATCAGATGCTAGGAAATGGACTCCAAATCCAGACTTGTTTTCATCTACAGCTGCTGGCTCTGGATTACGTTGTTCTTAAATACACTTCAGGGCTGAACAAACTGGCTTTTGATGCGGCCCAGACTCCAGAGGTGGTTATATGGAGTCTCCACGCTGCTTCTGCACTGCCTGTGAGACACCCTCCCCTTCCTCAGTCGAGCTCTCCAGTTAAGAAGGAAAAATTCTAAATTAAGTGAACGAAAAACCCGCTTAGGTAGGTGGTAACTTTTGGCCGGCACCCCAAGAAGGGCGGGCGCCTGCTCTCACACTGCTCGGCCAGGCTCTGGCGCGGCTGGCACCCGCGGTTCGCGCTGCCCAGGGCGGCAGCTCCCGCAGTTCCCCCGGGGGGCCTGACCCCTGCGG